GGCCCTGCTTTCACCATTTTAGAAGACACACTTCCATTTAAAAATTTTTTTTTCAACGTTTTTATTTATTTTTGGGACAGAGAGAGACAGAGCATGAACGGGCGAGGGGCAGAGAGAGAGAGGGAGACACAGAATCAGAAACAGGCTCCAGGCTCTGAGCCATCAGCCCAGAGCCCGACGCGGGGCTCGAACTCACGGACCGCGAGATCATGACCTGGCTGAAGTCAGACGCTTAACCGACTGCACCACCCAGGCGCCCCCACACTTCCATTTTTAAAGCTTGACATTTAGTCCTCGTTTACATACCAAGGACGTTGTCGCTTCTCCAAGACAAATCCCATGCATGTCAAAATCACTGGTTGGGGGAGGGTGCGGTAGAAAGTGAAGGGGAGAGAGAAATAGTAAATTAAACTATCGCAGTGATAAACTGGATGAGCATCCCAGATTAGGGACCATAGGCCACTTGTGAAAGATGAGCTGGAGGAACACGAGAAATCACTCATGAGGCCACTGAGTCTGAGGTAGACATTGGTTTTGTTGAGATATTATGAATGTGTGTAGCTACCTATGAGAGCCCACAGGCACTCTCTCTAAGCACATGGACACACAACAAAACAGAGCTCATACAGGCCTTTCTTTCTTCCTTTCACTCTTTCTTTCTTTCTTCCTTTCTCTCTCTCCTTCCTTCTTTTCTTTTCCTTTTCCTTCCTTCTTTCTTTCTCTCTCTTTCTTCCTCTCTCCCTCTCTCCCTCCCTTCCTCCCTCCCTCCCTCTCTTCCTTCCTTCCTTCCTTAATGGCCTTCACTTGCTTCGTCGATGTAAATAATCACGCATTCACCGTTTCTTAATATGGCGTCAGTCTTGACTTTTCCCTACTACTAGGTTTGAATCCTTACCTTTATTTTTATACAGAATTTATACCATCTTTAAAAATTAACACCCTTGGCCACTAGCTTGATGAACGATAGTATAAACCACACTCAGCAAATTTGCCATTCTGATGAGTAACGACCTTTACAAACCTTCAGAGGGAATACTGGGGGGAAGCTGTATGATCCTAGGAGTCAGGGGTGCTCAGTTCTATCTCGTCACTGACTGCCCATGACCCGGAAGAGTGAGATTTTGGTCTTTGAAAATGTCAATGTCCCTGCTTGAATACAAGCGTGAAGTGAACGTGAACTTGAATTTCTTTTAACTCAGCTCTCCAGAGGCCAGAGGAGCAGGAAGGAGGCTAGGGAAACGGAGCCCGTGTCTGCTCAAGGCTGGGAGTCCTCAGGATTGCCACCTCGCCACCTTCCTTCTCTAGTCACCCCACCTTCCTTCTGGTGCCCCGCCGGGTGCCCGGGGCTCGGAGCCAACCTTCTCCCTCCCCGCCCTCATTTACACATGTGCCCTCCCCGCCACACCTACGTGGCGCGGATTCTTGGCCCGCGTTAAGTGCTTTTGATGAAGAGAACATGGGCCTGTGGAGTCAGACAGACCTGGGTCTCCTCTGCTCTACGTCCCATCATCTTGGCCTGGGTCAAGTGCCCAAGGACCCAGAGGTTGGGGCTCCCCGTCCTAATACCAGCTTAACAATGACTACGATACAGGGGTGTCCTCGGTGTTAGAAGACGCCATGCAGTAACACCTCTGACCTAGCTCAGTTCTAATTCCGTCCTTTCCTTTCCCCTCTGTGGTATTTTTTTACTCCACGTTAAACCTTCCTATCCTGTATTTTGCATACTCCATGTCGGACGCTCCATATACACGGCTTCGTTGCCTCCGCCCCCAGCCCTTTTAAGTCACTCGATAGGACTGTGATGGACAATTTTCAAAAAGGTCACATCGTGGCCTTTGGTAAAATGAACGCCCATCAAAGATTTTGTGTAGATCGTTAATCAAGAAGGGGACTGCTAAAAGGTAAATACGAGTGCCAATTCAGATTGAACTTGCAGAGTCTTCTCTTTTCCACCAGCCGGAACTGATTTGTATCGCCCTGCGTCAGACCGGTACATAGATCTGCAGGCACCTTATCAATCTCCTGTAAGTTAGCTTCTGTCTCTACCGAATTGTAAAACAGCCTGTCCGGGGACCGTCACGGGGACACACGCCTCTGGAATCCGATAACTCGTGACCGTCTATGGAGCAATGCCCAGCACCGACAGACAACTCAGGGATCTCCTAGGCCCGTTTCAAAGGCTTTTACACTTTCCCCGGGGCTTCAGCCTTCCCACTCGGTAGACAAGTCAGCTAAAGATGGAAATGTTAGATTGTGCGCCCGAGGTCTTGACCTAGTAGGCCTGGATGAAGCTGTAGGTCGGCCTGGCTCCTTGGCAGTGGCGACTCGGTCCCTGGGCCACACGGAGCCTGCTTTGTTCTCCGTGCTGCCTTGTCATGCAGCTCTGGCAGGGGACGTGGACACACAAAGAGAAGGAAGTTTCAAGGAGGGTCTGGCAGAGGGGCCAAGCTCTGTGCTCGGCTTTCTGAGAAGCCGTGTTCCTCACACCCACGGGCCCCTCCCGTGGGCGGGAGTGGGGGGCTCTCCCACGTCACCCTCAGTCTCTCCGGGAGGCAGAGAGCAGGTGGGCATGGGGATCCCTGTTCCTGCATGCAGGGCCCTGAGCCCAGATGTCTCTGAGGTTTCCTGAAGGCGGGTAAGTCCTCTCATCTGGCCTCTGGAGAATGATAAGGGTCCAGGTGAGCCCGAGCCATTCTATTTTTTGGAGCATTAGAATCTGTCCTTTTTTCTCCACTCTCTGTGACTAATAGACCCCTCTCCTCCCAGGCTCCCCACTTCAGGCTTAGCCTGCAATCTCCCAGCTCGCACGTTCCTGGGAGGGAGATCTGGGGAAGCTGGGATGAGGGCAAACCCAGGGTGAGGCCCAGAAGGCGAGAGAACAAATCCATCCCAATCTGGGGCGTCCCCGAGTGGGTTACAAGGTTGCATGGGTATCTGATGGTTAGGGATGCTGAGACTACTACCTTTTTAATTAGTCCACGATGGGGGTGGGGGTGGGGGAAGGAATGGAGAAGAACGTATCTATAGGCTTCCATCTGCTACTAGCCTCATTTTCTCCCCTCAACCCACCCCTCCGGCAGTCACCAGAAAGCTGGGATGATAAAGTCCCGGCAGTGACACCCAGGGCCCTAGCCGCAGTGTGGTTGGGCAGGGGCACTCTGTTGAGAGCACACCCGGGTAAGGGCCTCAGGGAGGAGGGATTGCTGAGGTGTAGGAGGCGAGGACACGCGAAAGGTGCTAGTGGGACGTGCCCACCAGTCCAGGAGGGGCAGGACTAAAGCCGTAGCAGACCAGTACGGGGGGGATATGGTGGCCTCCTGCTGGCCATGGGGCTCAGCAACCCCCCGGTAATCTGAGGGATACATCTGGAGTTCACAGAATGCCCACAGGAATGGGGTTGGTACCGGGCCATCTTTACAGCATCTGGAGGGTCATGTCTAACTGGGTGCAGGGAGGCCAGCACACTGGGAGGGGAGTGGCAATGTAGGCACTCAAGCTCCTGGTGGCGTCTTTGCTGGCACCCCTGCCGCCAGGCTAGAGACAGAGAACACGTCCTGGACAGAGAACACGTGTCCACTCCACTCACCTGAGGACACCAGGGTATTTGCACTTGACATTTCTAAATTGTCTCGACTTTCCTTCTCTTTCTTTCTTTCTTTCTTTCTTTCTTTTTCTCTTCTTTCTTTCATTTTCTTTCTTTCTTTCTTTCTTTCTTTCTTTTTCTTTCTTTCTTCTTTCTTTCTTTCTTTCTTTCTTTCTTTCTTTCTTTCTTTCTTTCTTTCTTCTTTCCTTCTTGCAGGCTTCATGCCTAGCATGGAGCCCAAGGCTTAAACTCATGACCGTGAGATAAAAACCTGAGCTGAGATCAAGAGTCTGACACTTAACCAATTGAGCCACCCAGGTGTCCCTAAGTTCTCCCCACTTTCTGATGGGTGGGATTTGAGGCAGGGTAAGAGAGACATTTGTGGGCCACTAGGCCTTCTGACTCACTTATGTCACTTACCTTTTCAACCTCAAGGGCTTTCTTATAGGGGCTTATCTGTGATGGGGAAAGTGAAATGACAACAAGGAAGTTGTGGGCTGGTTCCTCCTCCTTCCCACGTTCTCTTCTAACTGGAAACAGTTGCTTCTTCCAGCCTCCCCTGCTCTGTGGGCTCCAGTCTTCAGTGACTGGGGGCCCACTGGGGGGGAGCTGGCTTCCAGCACAGCCTTGTGTGTTCTCTGCCTCCTCTGCTCATAGATCTGGAATTCTCGTTTCCTTCCTCACATTCCTTCTCCCAACCGGTCCTGGAAATCCAGAATAGTTCTTACAACATTAGTCTCGGCGCTTGCCTCCTATTTGGTTCTTCTGGGAATCTGGGTGGGAAGGGAGCCATGTGAACCTCTTGACCAGCAGGTCAGCTATCCAACATTTGTCAAGAACCAATTTTACAGCAAGGATTGGAGCAGGGGCTGAGGAATCTGACAGTGAAACAAGGTGCTTGCCCTTTAAGAGCTGGAGTTTACTAGAAGAAATACTACCTGCAAATAAAAAGGTGCACCAATCTCAGTGAGAGGGTACCTGAGCACACAAAGGAGAGTGTGGCCAATTTTACCTGGGCAGTGGGGTGAAATGGGGGACCCTGAACTGAGCATGGTCACACGAGCAAGTGTTTTGCAGGATGAGGGAAAGGAAGACACAATGGGCTGGGGAGGATTTTTTTTTTTTTTTTTTCCTTCCTGAAGAAAAAAATGGCGGCTCCTGGATACCCCATCACCCTGGGGTAACTGTGACTCCTTCATGGATAAACTGTTCACTGTTCACGTGGATAATTGTTCAGTCGGCTTTCTGCCAAAGAGAGAGGTGCACAGCTCTGAGATGGGTGGCGTCCCTCACATCAGACCTAAAGTGTTCTGTTAATTTCTATTGCCTCTCAAAAAATGCATGTTTTATATAAGCTTATATTTTACTGTCATAGTCTTCAGACTTATTCGAAGTTCTTCCTTTCTAGTGCACAGCCCTGGCTCCCGAACTCTTTCTGGAGCCTGATGTGGCCTCGACGAGGGCTCTGAAGTCCTTGCTGGTAGCCGCCCATCTTCGAGACTTCCAAGGTGGAGGCCCTTCACCAGCTTGAGCAAGGCTGCCAAGGTCTGCTCTCCACTCCTCCCAAAAGACTCTCAGCTCTTAAGAGTTTCAACATCTTGGAGGACCGATTAAACACTAATCTCGACTTACGCGTTTTAGGAGCTCCGTTGGTTGAGGCTGCCTGAAATGTCTACTCGGGCACGATGTGAGACGCCCCCAAACTGGACAGCCCCCTCTCAGGTGACAGCGCAGGGATTCCGGCCCCTCCAGGGTGAGTCTCCTTCCCTGTAGGGATGTGCAGCCCATTGACAGTCGTGAGGATGCCTGGTTGGTGACCAGGACAATGATGGGATTCGGGATGTGATCCAAGGCTCCCAGACAAGGTCCTCATAGCGTGACCAGAGGTTGGCTTTCTCGTCTGTAGCCATGGGTCTCACCCTATACTCCCCTCAAAGCGTGCGCATTAGAGACAAATATGTGTTTTACAAGAGAAACTGACGCCACCTCTGCTGGTGCACCCTCCGACCTCTGCACTTCTAGCTCTCCTCCTCGTCCCTGTCTTATGGGACACACTCTTTTAGACATTACCTCCCAACCTGACAATCTCCTGGCTCCTACCTTCACACCTGTACACCTCTACCCTCTGAGCACCGAGGAAGCAAAGACCCCTCTGGTTACCAGGACCCAGAATGACAAAGAATGACAGCATGAGGCTCGTTCCGGCCGTGAAGGCTCCTCCCATTGCCCGAGACTCACTGGCGGGGCCGACCACACTCAGGTTGCCCGGTGTCTGTGCTCACTCAAAGCCTGGTCCATGGGCGTTCCCGACCCCCGAGGGCTTGCCGGACCTCTTCCCCCTTGGATGCCCTCTTCTATTCTGCGTGTCCTTGAAGTGTGTTTCTGAGCTTGATTGGGATCTGTGTTCTTCTCAGGCTCTGTTACTCACCTTGAGCCAAGCCGTCTACATCTCTGGTGGCAGCTCCATCCGTATTCTGGGTCTTGGCATCCTGGGTCTGGACATCCCATAGTTACCTCAAATCTTGACATGTCCAAAATGGAATCAGTCCCCTTTTGCCAAAGTCTGCTCTTCTCTTGCTTTCCTGCTTTCACTTACCTATGGCCACTGACATAACAGGCACACAGGCCCCCAGCCCAGACACGGGCTCATCACAGATAGTCCTTTCTCCTTCACCTCCAACCTCCAGTAAGTCACTCATCTTAATTATATTTGTACCATATCTCTTCTGCACCCTCCCTTCCATTTCTTCTGCCCTTGATTGGTTCCGGATGGCATCACTCCTTGCTTGCATTATTGCGATTGCTTCTGAGCTGGTCTCCTTATAAAAGCAACCCCCCCATGGGGCACCTGGGTGGCTCAGTCGGTTAAGTGTCTGACTTCGGCTCAGGTCACGATCTCATGGTTTGTGAGTCGGAACCCCGCGTCGGACTCTGTGCTGACAGCTCGCGGAGCCTGGAGCCTGCTTCGGATTCTGTGTCTCCTCCTCTCCTTGCCCCTCCCCCCACTTGTGCTCTGTCTCTCTCTGTCTCTCAAAAAGAAATAAATGTAAAAAAAAAAGCAAAAAAAAAAAAAAAAGCAACTCCCCCCTCCCCATCAAGTGGATATCCATGAGTAAGTGTCCCACTTAATAGATTGTAAGTTTTGTGGACACAGGGAACTTATTTGCTGACCAGCATAATAAAGATAATGCCTCCCTCCAGGGTAAAAGCTGGGTAAACTTGCTTATAGCCCTATAAAAATTGGGGGATCTTTAAGCTCAGGGTTTCTCAGCTGTGGTGCACACCTGCTGCATCCTCAGCATTCACAAGTGCCAGTCTGTTTTGTCCTTGTGGGGCACATGAGAGGCAAGTGAAAACCACAGGAGCGTGAAGCCCGGACGGCTTGCTGTGCCTTGAGTAATAAGCTCCTTTGTCTCTGGTCCAGGCATCTCATGTCATCTGGCAGCATCCACAATACTGTGGTAGGCTTACTTGCTAGCTTGCAAGTGAGATAAAAACTCAGACTCTTAAGCCACGCTTGACATAAGTTTGACATGAATGTAGAAAAGCACATTCATTTAATTGATGGGTTCTGTATTGTTTAGATTCCCACTAGTATATGACGAACTAAGTCAACAGGGCATTCAGGTTTAAATTCTCCGGACACTGCACTCTGCAGTTCCAGTTTCTTATGCTGCCTTTCAGAATCGTTGGTACGTGGGGAGCCCAGGTGACTCAGTCAGTTAAGCCTCGGACTTCGGCTCAGGTCATGGTCTGACGGTTCATGGGTTCAGGCCTAGCATTGGGCTCTGTGCTGACAGCTCGGAGCCTGCTTCGGATTCTGTGTCTCCCTCTCTCTCTGCCCTTCCCCTGCTGTCTCTCTCTCTCAAAAATAAATAAACATTAAAAAAAAAAAAAAAAAGAAAAGAACTGCCGGTATGTGATTCTGACCTGTAGAACAGAACCCAGGGAAGAGGTCAAACACTTTCGCTTTGAAATGTCATCTCAAATGTAGGACTGAACTGCAGAATATATTTAGAATACTCTATTCTGGCGAATTTATGTGGTTATACATTTGCCAGAGGGCAGAGTCCAAGGCAGGTGAGCTGTTTTGCAAAGAAAGGGACTATGTTGTACTTGAAGCACAGTAGGATATGTGGCCAGGATGGCGAACACCTCACCAATCCTGTAGTGCAGGGAACAGTGGAAGGGACTGGGGAAGTCGGTGTAGGAGCTGTATAGACGATCTCATTGAATATTCCAAGATCTGTCAAAGGTGAGAGGTATCAGATTTGGCTCCTGAGTATGGAACCTGATCCAAAGAATGTGAGCACCAAAGAGATCTTTTTTTTTTTTTTTTTTTTTTTCAGTTCGGTCAATGGGATAGCCTCAAATTGAAATTGGTTGTCTCAACGAATGGTGCTTTCCTTACCACGGGAAGGGGTGGAACGACTTAAGGAGCCAGATGATTGCACTGGATACATTCTAAGATGTCCTAGGAGTTGAAGAGAGCTTAATGCAAAGTAATTGTTTTTGTGGACTTAATACCTATAATATCTCTGTCCATATAACTGATATATTTTATCCACTGCCTCGATAAACAGAAGAGGTTCTTTCTGTTGGAATTTGCTTAATCCACTGACAGACGGTTTTGTTGACAATGACTGTTGCTTGTCTCTGACACTATTTCTACATGATATAACCATGCAGCCATGGTGTCTGCCCCAGCCACAAAACAGAAGGCTCTTGTTGCTCTGCCCACTCCCCAGTGAGACAACAATCGTTACTCATGGACAATGTAATTGACCATTTTGTGCATACCAGGCACTGAACTATGTATTTTTTTATGCTGGGCCCCATTTACTTGTCACAATACCCTGTAAGGTGGGTGTAGCGTGAGTCCCTTCGTGTGGTTGACTCAAAGTCATGCAACTTAAGGACCAGAGGGGAGTTTGGGCCCCGGACAGTCTTAGCTCCAAGCCAGTGCTCTTACCAGCTACACATTGAAAATTTAGGCAAAATCAGATGTGGAGAGCAAAAATCTTGCAAGTTGTTAAAAGGGCATGAAACGTGGTAGTTTCCCTAAGGTGTTGGAGGAGAAGATTCACGTGCTTTTCCTTGGATATGAAAAGAACCCAAGCGCTGTTTGTTCATTCGTCTCAATGATGATGTTAATGCTGCGACTTTGCAGGTTATTTTAGGAGATGAAGTATTTCACCACATGGACAGTATGGGAACATTTTTTTTTACATTGTTTTTTTTGGCTGACACTCTTTTGAACTTGGCTGCTCAGTGGGGAATAAGTAAGTTTGAAAAAGCTAAAGATTTCTAAATACAGTTAAAAACATGTACACTTGACGCCTGGGGAAAATCTTTTTCATGGTATTTAAAGGTTTTCAGTCATATAATGCGATTATGCTACAGTTATGTAATATTTTAGGACTCTTCAAAGCTAGATGTGTTGCAGTTCTGTCTCTGGACTGGGCACTCCAGGGTCAAATTAAAAGTGGGCCTTTAAAAAAAATTGCAATGCTACATTTTCAATGTGAAAAAGTCATTAAATAAAGTTGGCTTTGAAAGGGGAATAGCCTTCCATGAACTTAACGATATTTTCGAAACCGTTGAAAACCATTTGGCCCAGATGGCTTATCCTTGGGGTTGGCAAACGGAGGCCAGATAGTAAATAATTCAGGCATTGTCTTTGGGCATACAGCCTTTGTCGTAACCATTTAATTCTGTCATCCTAGAGTGAAAGTGGCCATAGACAGTTCAGAAACAAATGAGTGTGGTTATGTTCTGACAAAACTCTACATAGGGGCGATGAACATAACTTTCATATATTTTCCCGTGTCACAAAACATGGTTCTTTCCTTTGACTTTTGTCAACCATTTAAACATAAAACTCACCCCTCGCACACAGGCCATACAAAGACAGGCGGAGGGCTGGGCGTGAACTTTGGGCTGTGGTTTGCTGATCCTAGCTTAACCTGCCTTCAGCCTGGCTGCAACACATAGAACGAGAATAGCTCTTGAGAGCCAGCAAGTGAGGCTGGTGACATTGGTGTTGGCACATTCCCACCTCTACTTTCTGCATCCTGTCTCCATTCCTGTACCTCCCAAAGATTACTTGCCTCCAGTCTGGAGAGTTTAATACACGCAGCATACGCACCAGCTGCTTTAGTGACTATAGCTACCCATACACCCCTGTTGGTACCGAGACAAGTGTCATTACCTTTTCTCTAACTCTGTCAGTTGTCTTCACAGGAAACGATTCCGGGATTGCTATTGAGTTTTCCTCAAGCCGGGCTTAGTTCAACCTGCAAGGCTTTGATGGCAAAAACAAACTGTTCCGTTTTTCCATCTGTTCACAGATGCTGTTCACTATTGACACAAAGCCTAGTAAGATGGATATTCCATTACTTCTTCTTGGAAGACAGAATCCGCCCCCCCCCCCCAACCCTTGCAGTTAAGTAGAGGCTATGTGACTGGTTTCAGCCAATGGAATGCAGACAAAAGCAATGTGTGCAGTATGCATGTCTGACTCTTAAAACATCCCAAGCTATCTTTCATATCCTCTTCTTCCCTCTTTCGTCCACCTAGCCAAAAGGTAAGATGGGAGAGATGCTGAAGCCCCTCAATACGAGGAGTCACAAAAGAGAGAGGAAGCCGCTCAGTAGGGCGACGTGATCAACAATGGATATTGATTAAGAAACGAACTGTTACTGTTTCGAGATACTGATTGGGGGGTTGTTTGTTAGAGCAGCTATCACTAATTATCCTGATGAATGTTGTTTCGCTGTATCGCCCAAAGCTTTCATTCAACTTCTCTTTGTCTTTGATGGAGTTTATTGACAACCTCCTGTATTGCAACAATTGCACATTTGCGGCTCCTGATTATAACAGCAAGGAGATTGTTATGAAAGTTCACAAAACCCAGCAATCACAAGCCTGGGAATTTGTCTCGGAAAAATAAACATTTATATGCAGGTAAACACCTGTATAGGATGGTTCATAAGTAGCTTTACTTGTGATAGCTCCAAACAGGAAACAACGGAAATATCCCTCCATAGATGAATGGTTTAAAAAAAATGGTACTTTCATACCAGAGAATGCTACTCAGGAATTAAAGAAAACAAACTATTGGATTCAAGACCTAAATGTGAGACCTGAAATCATAAAACTCCAGAAAGGAAATATAGATAGTGATCCCTTGGAAGTCAGCCTTAGTAACATATTTATGGGTATGTCCCTTTAGGCAAGGAGAATAAAAACAAAAATAAACTATTGGGACTACACCAAAATAAAAAGATTGTGCAGAGGGGTGGCTCAGTTAGTTGATCATCCAATTCTTGATTTCGACTCAGGTCATGATCCCGGGGTTATGGGATTAAGCGCCATGTCAGACTCTGTGCTGAGCATGGAACCTGTTTAAGATTCTCTCTCTCTCTCCCTCTGCCCCTCTTCTCTGCTTGTGTTCTCTTTATCTAAAATGAAAAAAAAGAAAAGAAAAAGATTTTGCATAGAGAAGGAAATCATCGACAAAATGAAGAGACAACCTACTGAATGGGAGATGATATTTGCAAATGATAAATCCAACAAGGAGTTAATATACAAAATATTTTTAGTAAACAATTATAAGTACAAAACTTATACAGCTCAACACCAACCCCCCAATAATCTAATTAAAAATGGACAGAGGATCTGAATAGACATTTTCCCAAAGACATACAGATGGCCAACAGACATATGCAAAGTTGTTCAATATCACTAATCATCAGGGAAATACAAGTCAAAACCAGAATGAGATCTCAGTTCACACCTGTCAGAATGACTAGAATAATTAAAAAAAAAATAAATAACAGGTGTTGATGAGGATGTGGAGAAAAGGAAACCCTCATGCACTATTGGTGGGAATGTAAGTTGACACAACCACTGTGGAAAACAGTATGGAGGTCCCTCAAAAAATTAGAAATAGAAATACCATATAATTCAGTAATTCCACTACTGGGTACCTATCCAAAGAAAATAAAAACATGAATTCAAAATGATGCATCTTTATGTTCATTGCAGCATTATTTATAATAGCCAGGATATGGGAGCAACCCTTGTGTCCAGTGACAGATGACTAGATAAAGAAGATGTGAGTATATAGTACTCAGCCACAAAAAAAGAATGAGATCTTGCCATTTGCAAAAACACTGATGGACCTAGAGGATGTTATACTAAGTGAAAGATGTCAGACAGAGAAAGACAAATACTACGTGATTGCATTTTGATGTGGAATCTAAGGATCAAAACAAATGAGCGAACAAGGAAACAAAACAGAGACAGACTCAAATACAGAAACAAACTGGTGGTTGCCAGAGGGGAGCAGTGGGGAGATGGGCAAAATATGTGAAGGGGCTGAAGAGGTACAAACTTGCAGTTGTAAATAATTAAGTCATGGAGATGAAAAGTACAGACTAGGGAATGTAGTCAATAATATTGTAATAAGGTATGGTGATAGATAGTAACTACGCTTGCCATGGTGAGCTTTGCATGATGTATTCAGAAAAATACACCAAAACATACTGATACATGCCATGGCTTGGATAGATCTCAAGGGCATTGTGCAGAATGAAAAAAAACAAAAACAATTTCAGAAGGTCACATACTGTGTTACTCCATTTGCATAAAACGTTGGTGTAATGAAAAAATTACAGAGATGGAAAACAGATTGCTAGTGGTTGACAGAGGACAGAGAGGGTGAGGGCTGGGGTGAGAGGGTGTGTGACTTCCTGACTAGCGTGTGGGAGCCCTTGGACGTGATGGGATCGTTCTGTATCTTGATCGTGGTGGTGATTGTATGAATCCCCACACGTGATAAAATCCACAGATCCACACACATACGTCGTACCGATGTCCATTTCCTATCAAATTATGGAAGATGAAGTCGCTGAAGGAAACCAGGTTTTCAGGCTCTTACTGCAACTTTTTATGAATCTGTAATTATTGCAAAACTACCATCGATGAAGCCCTTACTCTATGTCGGGGTCCAGGCATTTTTCCTGTGCCATCTCAGTCCTCATAACATTAGGAGGTGGGTATTTTTATCCTCATTTTACAGATCTGGAAACTAAGGAATTAACAGATGAAATCACATGAAGAAGCCCACACAACTAGACACTAATTTAGGAACGAGGAAGGCAAGTTCGTTTATGTGCACCCACAAATGCCGTTCCTCACACCTACTCGTACATCTACTCCGCGTTTTCTCGAGAGTAGCGCCCTATCACTTTAGTGCCACTTGGTAAATGGCCATTATTTTGATAAGAACGCAGAAGAAAGATACTGGACCTTGAAATGTTTTTCTGGCAGGTAGCTGGGTTAGATGACACCTAAGTTTACAAAAATGAGCGGCCAAAAAGCATCAGATCCCGAATGTCCCCATGACTAAAACATCCCTGAAGGAAAACTGAACACAACTGCTTACCCAGATCTAACAATGTTCGTTAAGTACTTACGGCCCAGCTTCCCTGTGGGTCTGCACGTTCTGAATTTCCTACCCTGGCATGGAAACGATTTTATTTTTGTTTTATTTTGCTGGTTACCTTTTACATCCAGGAAAGCATATAAATCCATTTCCCCCATAACGTTACACGGAAAGATTCTGGGACTTCAAAACAATTTCGTCTATTTGCTTACTCTGCCTTTGGCACGCTGACCTTGCAATTCCTCAAGTGTGCCAAACTCAGTACTGCCACAGGATCTTTGCACTTCCTCTTCTCCCTGGCGCACTCTTCCAATGGATCATCACACGGCAATTTCTCTGGCTTTAACGGGGCCCCTCCTCAAATTTCTTCTTCCCAGAGAAGTTGTTCCTCAAATATAATAAATGTATTTATTTTTTAAATTTCTGTTTATTTATTTTGAGAGAGAGAGAGAGAGAGAGAGAGCATGCACAAGTGAGAGTGGGGGAGGGGCAGAGGGCGAAGGAGAGAGAGAATCCCAAGCAGGCTTCATGCTGTCAGCACAGAGCCTGATGCGGGGCTTGAACCCACAAACCGTGCGATCATGACCTGAGTTGAAATTAAGAATCAAACACTTAACCAGGGAGCCACCCAGCCGCCCCTGTGATAAATGTATTTAAAGTAGCCTCTTTACTATTATCTCTGTCCTCTGGTTCTTATATAGTTTTTGTTGTTGTTGTTGTTAACACTTATCACTATTTGAAATTACACTCTGCATTATTTGTCACTTGTTTATTATCTCTCTCAATAAAATATAAACTCCTCACAGGGCAATCATCTGTTTTCATTCACTGCTGTACCCTCAGCATCTAGAATATTTTCTGGCCCATCGTAAGCTCTGTGTTTTACCTGAATGAACAAGTGAATAAGTGCTGTGCCCACCAGAACTTGTCCCTTCACTCCAGCCAGGGGATTACACTTCTCTTTACCCACCAGCCCCAGGCTCAACGTGTTCGAGATTTGGTTATTGTCTTTATAAGAGACCCGTGTAGACTTCTGAGCTAGATATGGTTTATTTTCCAGGTTGTCCTTTTACTTAGCGTCCTGTGTGCTTCCTGAGTCATCTCTGTGGGTTCTCGGCCTCAGGTTTCATTTGGGTCTTTTCTGCCCATTCTATTTCTCCAGGTTTAGGTCCTTTGCTGCTAATTCTGACCCTTCAAGACCGGCTAATGGCTGGTCTCCGGACCAAGGCTGGCAGTGACCTTTAGGACCAGAAGAAATCCTCTCCCTCTGCTCTGTGTACCTGTTGACAGTTTAGTGTGGTCCTGTCCACCATCTTGAACCCCCAGCTTTCATTCAAATGCTCAGCCCAGCTTTTCCTTCCAGGTCTACCCTGCCCACCCCTCAGCGGACTCTCCCCTCCCATCTTGACACTGCCCCGTGCTGGAGAAAAACTCCCAGAGGGGCTTTATTGAAATGGGATTTGGGCTGTAAACCAGAAAACTTAGTATCAGAGCAGCAGAAACACTGCACACAAAAATAATGACTTTATCACGTGTCATCTTCTCTCAAAGTTCCTTTTGCTGTTTGAAACTGAACCCATCACGAGGCCGGTAGAGACTTAGCCCGTCACATGTCAAATGTAATCGTTCCAAGTAACTGAGGCGGGAAACGTACCTGAGGGATACTTAGATGATGACATCCAGATCTGAACACCGGCCCCACCCTTCAAGCCTCCTGCGCTCACCAGCCTTCACAATTCATTGCCTTGAAACCAAAAATCTCGAGCCTTCCAAGCCCAGGCTTCTTACGTTGAAATTTTCCTTGGAACGTTTGCAGCAACCCGAGGCTTCCTTCTTGGGGTGTACGTGTGAATAGAAGCACTGTGCCGGGCTGGCACACTGTGGCATTATGGGTACCTCGGACAACCGTAGGGCATTATAATGACGGGAGATAGAAATAAAATTAGGCCAATGAAATAAAAACACAAGGATGGTGATGTGGACCACCCTCTTGTCATTACACAAGAAAAGCAAGTGTGTGAAATGTGCCGGACACATGTTTATCTCCTACACCTTCCCCGCAGCTCTTTCCAGGGCTCTCCAGGCCTCACGGACCAGCTTGCGTTTGCTCTTGGTCACAAGGGTAAATCCCGATGTAGTTATTCTTACTGTTGGAGCATTCTGTCCACCTTGACAATATAGAAGTTAAAGCTGTCACGATGAAATAAAGGAACACAAACAACGACGGGGTGAAATTATTGTACCTCACGTACAGCCAGTGTGTGAAGCGCCTGGCTATCAGCTGGTTTTTCAGAACTGGGCTTTTAAAACCCTAAGTGGTGAAAGCTTACCATGCTTCTACCTTAAATTAGGTAACTAACAGTTAAGTGATACTGCCTGCTTACGTGCCTTAAAACATAAAATTGCTGTGAAGTTGTGGCAGTCTCTGAGTCTCAGCTCCCATTTCCATGAACGCTATCGCAGCAAATAAGTGTCCGCGTGTCCCAAACAAGCAACGGGGGAAAAGCCCTTGCCATTTTTGCTACTTTTCTTTACACCTACCACAGGATTTTATCTGACATCCAGCTCTTCCTGCTATCAGGGGAAAACTCACAGGAAAATCACAATCCACTTTGTAGTATTTATTTCTTTACCTACTTGATGTTTATTTTTGAGTCAGAGAGACAGAGACAGAATGAGTGAGGTAGGTGCAGAGAGAGAGAGGGAGATACCGAATCCAAAGCAGGCTCCAGGCTCCGAGCCGCCAGCGTGGAGCCCGAGGCGGGGCTCGAACTCGTCAACTGCGAGATCATGACCTGAGCCGAAGTCGGATGCTTAACCGACGGAACCACCCAGGTG